AAAATACTTGTGTAACTTACGAAGATCGAGTTACTACACAATTTCTGCAAGAGTTCGTATGCAACGAACTCTGTACGAAGGACATGCGATTCCTTCATGCTGTCTGTCTGTGTTTTCTTATAGCAAAGCCACATCTGGCTATCTGCAGTGTCCACCGAGAGGAATCGAACCCATGATTTTAGCATTGTAAATCCGAAGACTTACCGCCATTCCACCGGTAGATGATTCCATTAGTCACAGAACAATTCAATTCATAACGTACGCTTAGATTCTCCAGCAGAAAAAGTCAGTTTTCGTCTGAAATATCACTTTTCCAGAAATTTACAAGTTTTATTTAAAAAATAATTTCCTTGATAGTAATAAATGTACAAAATTAATAAACGCTATTAAAAAGGTAAGAAGTGCCATTTCTCCATTAAGTAAGCGATTCGGGAAAAAATGGTACAAAATAAGGTCCCTTTTTCTTTTAATTTTAACGACGGTCTATTTTATAACATTTTTCATTTTGATGCGATATAGAGCTGTTATTGTCTTATTTATTAAAAAAGTAGACACGTACACTAAATAAACTTTTTTATATAAAATACCCAATTACAATGAAAGTTTTTAGGAATTTCCCCCTTATGATGTTGAATAATCCTGCGAAGTTTCATTTAAATCGGACTTAAAGTGTGGGAGGAGTTTTGCGGACAGACGGACATAGCCTCTTATATAAATAAATAAAGCTTCTTTTTTACTGCATTAGAAATGGGTAATTAAATGTGATAGTCAACCGCAGCCCTGATGTAAATATTGTTATAGAGTAGTATGCATTTATGACATTTGTTTCCTATCCCCATTAGTTAATATGGACTTTAAAAAAAAATTCTGTAAATATCGAGTGTGTATGTATTATTAATATAGGATATTAGTCAAGGGAACCACTAACTTATTTTCACCCTATTACTCACGAAACTAGGTCTAATGTATAGAAAATTACAGTGATATTTTCCAATAATAAAACATCCCTTTTGTAAAGTTAGAGTGACTGTCAGTCAACGAGTAGCACCTGTACCGTGAGAAGAATGAAATTGTTGTTTTTCGTATAAAATACTAAGCTTTTTTTTGTCCGGAATAAGTTTTGATTCAATCAAGTTTTAAGATATGAAGGAATAACATCACAACTGCAATAATCGGCAAAGACGACAACAACGACCTCCTAAATTTGAATACTAGCTGTTAGGAATGTCACTGATTGTAAGGTAAGTGAATGAAAGTAGGTGGCATTCCTTTCCGAGCTATCAGATGGTATTTCACGATAAAATGTATGCGGTAATTTGTTTATTGCTACTCAATTATCACAAAGTTAGAACAATTTGTAAATCACAAAATAAACAAGACCAAAAAGCGTTATGACTCTTATCTTTCTCAGCTATTGAGAAAAGTTTCTGATGAGCTATCCATAGAACATTGGATGATAGCTGCTATATTTTACATAATTAGAACCTCTGATGTGAGCAGATGTAATGACTAGAACATTGGATGATAGTTGCTACATTTTACATAATTAGAACCTCTGATGTGAGCAGATGTAATGACTAGAACATTGGATGATAGTTGCTATATTTTACATAATTAGAACCTCTGATGTGAGCAGATGTAATGACTAGAACATTAACAGTTTGCAGGACCGAGGATGATTGTAAAGAATTAAAAACTCAGTTGAATGGCCATTTCAACTCTTAATTTCCAAATTATCAAGGATTTCTTTATAACAAAATGGTCGAATTAGGGAAACTGAATCAATGTTTGAACAAAAATGTATGAATTTTGTATATTAATCTGTACAACTGAGTATGTTTTCACTCGAAACATAAAAGTGGCTATTGTTCGGGACGAACAATACTAAGGAGGGGCAGTGTTGCGTCAGCGGAGGTCGCGTGACTAGTATCACGCCACGTCCTTCTCGAACATTCACGTCCCTTCCTTAAATCTCGGGATCCTTCTGGATATAGTGTATTCTTGTATATATAAACCAGTAAGAACTGAGGCGAGGTAATGTGTAACTGAACTGAGTATTGTTGAGACGAGCACGTGAGACATTCATTGAGAATTATAGCGTTTGTTATAGCGCGACTGTTGAAATTAAGTGTATCGCAAAGTTATATTCAGGAAGAATAAACCAGTTTTATTTAAGAAAGGACTTCTATCGGTAAAGTTTCTTTGGAAAGAATTTTTGCGGAAAATTAACAAACGAACGGAGACGTAACAATATAATATTACAATACATATTATAAAACACGATTTATAATAATATATGTGTCTGGGATTTTATTAATTAATTATCCGACATGAAATATAAACTAGCTGATTTACATGAATGTCTTGTATAATCAGTTCAAACGTGTTAATTAAGAAAAGTTTCTGTTAGAATTCTACAGCTCTGGAATTTAATAAAACATTTAACAGTACTTCTAAACTACATTTTAGAATAAAAACAAATTAATAAGCCTTCTAAATCAATATTAATTTAAACTGAAAATTTCAACAGTAGATATTAAATATAACAATATTATAAAGAAATGCAAAGAACGCTTTATATATAGTAGTAGGATTACGTCA